TAAAGTGTTAAGATTGTGTATATTAGGTGACCACATCAAGTTAATGTAATTTTTTACATCGAAATTAAATTGTAAAACCACATGAACGTATTCCGTTACTTGATATTTTCAGTTACCGCTTGTAATTTAATAGAGATCCTATGACAACCAGAAAAATATAGACTCCGTTGTCTTTTACTTTCTCTTCTCCTCTAAACTGGGAATGTTGCAAGTAGCCAAACATTTTTAGAAGACAATGTACATACCTTGCATCCTAGCAAGCTAGTTAATAAAGTTTTCGTTTCACTTGAGGGGAATTGGTAGCGGGAATCGCCTTCCATATAGAGCTAGTTCAAATTAATAAATTCTTTCGACTTTCAATAACAAAGGAAAATGGTTCATTTTTAAGGTTACTTAATCAATTTTTTTAGTAACGATAATAATTAGTACATTGTAGACACTATATGTCCACTAAGGTGTCGAGTACAACAAACTGGATACCATGGTAAAAATTTTATAAATTTCTTTATTCATGTCTGACCACATGAAATACTAAATGACAAATTTAAATTATCAAGTAATTCTAATTACCGAATGAAAGAGTTCGCAGGTTCGAATCTGCATAAAGACGGTCTGTCTAGAAATTACATTTGCGAATAATTATGTCCTCTTAATGTGGTCACCTGTTTTGTGAGATCGTTATTTGATTTTCGCACGAAAGTGGCTACTTTAACATAACGGATTCGGACGTTTTTAATTATTTAGCTTTTAGCGGTTAAATAAAATTGATAGTTATCGGCAGCTCGTAAAATAACGTATGCATATTTAAAAGATCATTCATGTGTAATATATTCCGTTATAGTTATTAGGTGCAATAATACGGTCGTCGACTACCGAATCACCGCTCATAAAAATCCCATAAAATCGAAACAACCGCTTCAACGCTTCAAATCTTAATCTTCCTCAATCTAATACCGTAGTCACCACATTAAAAAGTAAACCTTCAAAAAATACTTGACCAAAAGAATTGACAAACCATTACCCCTTACTCTGTCATCCAAGAAATAAAATCAACTAACTAAAAATGTATCAACTATCAAAATAAACCGACATAGTATCTATTGTCAGCAATCTCCTTTATCAACCATCAATCTGTTCATGTTTCAACGTGTACCGTAGACACTAAGACGTCAATTACTATCATCTACTGTCAGTCGAATCGTTAATATCCATCTGCACGAATGAATAAATATGCAAATCCCCGGAGGTGACCATTAATCAGTATCTACTTACTCTTTGGCCACTTCGTGCTGTCGGCTGAGTGCACCGGTGACAATGCCGCATTAAACAAGCGGTTCACGACCACCGATGACTTTCTCCTGATGGTCTCTGTTTTCTGTGCGATTGTCATCTCGTCGTCCTCGCTGCTGCTGTTGTTTTGATTCTGGCCAGTGTTCACGGTCGAGTAACGCCGACCGGCGAATCGGTTCCATATCATCATGAAGTCTTTCATTTTTGTTACTTCGCTTGGACCAATACTTTTGGCGGAAGTCCTGGCAGGGCACGTGCGCGGGGGCGCGCTACCTCTTGCTCGTGTCTAATCACCAGAAACGTATTTTTTATCGCGGCGAAGTCACACGGAGGTGCGCTGTCACGTGCGTTGCGAAAGTGTTACGAGCTAGTCGGCTGAACGATCGCGCACAGGATTCGTTAACCAGTAGAACTAGTCGATTCGCGATTGCTGTTTACGGAAGGAAACACTGATTTGATAGGACCAGTCCCGCGGCGCTTATATGTCTAAGAATCTCAGCTATCAGCGTTTCCCTTCTTCAGGCAAATCTGAGGCTCGGCGACATATCTGGAAGCTTCTGTCCTGTGTCGACCAATTCTTTTGTCTTTAGATCTTCGTCTGTAGATATGTCTTTGAATCTTCTCTAGATTTGTCTTCGAATCTTCTCCTCAATATTCTTCTTTATTGGCCACTGATATCCTTCGATAGTGTAGTAGAGTCTAGCTTCTGTCCTGTTTCACTCTTCAACCAACTCCTCTGCTTTTAATCTCCTCCTCTAGATTTTCAATATCCTTTTCTACTGTTCACCAATACCCTTTGATCTTCCTTGAGAAGTCTTATCGCAAGAATGGAAAAGTTCAGAACGCTAATTGAATCGAACGACAACTTGCGGTTTAGGTACTCGGATGTCCACATGCAGGTACTAAGCGGCTAATGCTCGCGGTGTACACTTTTCCTCTCCCGGTGTGTACCGTGTGCGCTTCTGTGCAAAAGTGATGAAAACACGGTTCAGTGGAAGTTCAAAAATTATGTTAGAGTCATTGCAGTGCCCCCACTAGAGTTACAAACCGCCCGGTCGCGGCTAGCTGCACGTGGAACGCTCACCAATCGGTGACCTGGACCGGTACCCCACTATAGGTGGAAGACACTACAGGTGGTCGAGTGAAGAAGCCGGGGAGCAACGCGACCAGTAACAATTGCAGTGGCATTCGATTGCAACGTGCAAAGGTCAATGGAACATTCTCTACGTCAGTCATATGATCCTCAACAGGGGATGCACCGAGATTCTCAGTGATCCTTTTAGGTTTTACGTGTATTTCGATTCGTTTATCCGGTTTTGCTCTGTTCTCATTCGTGGAAATATTTTGATTCTATTTTGTTTTCTTTTGTCCTCGTTCGTGAAAATTGTTCGGTTTGTTTGGTGAAAGTATTCTGATTTTATCTGGTTCTCGTTTGTTTTTGTTTCTGGAATATGATTTACTTTGTTCAAATAAAATTGTACACTGATTACTAGTATAATCATTTTTCTTTCATCTATACTGTAATATTTGAATTAATCCTTTGTTTATAAATAACGTTTATTGATCATTTTATTCCTTCGTCTCTCACTTATTCTTTAAAATGTTGTGTTGGAGGCATATTCCGAAAGTTAGTTTTATCCAATTTTTATTTGTTTATATTTAAAATTTATTTATCTTTAATATTCCTCGAAAGACAGAATATCCAAATTCCTTCATGTACGATTGCTCGTTATCACGTATCGTGACACACGTCATCATTGTCTCGGGCTGCACGATCTGTTCAGGTCGTTTCATATTTCTATCAAATATCATAACAGAATGACCGAACCAACGATCGTCCACAGAACGTGGATGACGACGAGATCGTCAATGATTCAGCAAGATCAAGCATTTCTGGCGATCAACAACTTCTACACATTCCTATTAACATTAATTGCGTTTCGAAAATATATTCGATCTAAGAATCTTCTGGAAACTAAATGTTCAACGCCACCACAAATCTCTTAATTGGCCGAGGTTTAATAACAGCGCTATTAGGGCGTTTTGTAGGCACTAAACCGTGCCTATTCACACTATCATTATTCTCATTATCCTACGCAGTGACGGAATGAAATAAAGTAATTAGCAATTACATTTTAATTACATTAAAACGAATTCTTATTACCTAAATACTTCATCCACATCATAATTTATTATTCTTCACATGCAACGAATTATTCTAGTTACTTATCAACACGGAAAGCTCATCTTTACTCTAATAAACAACCAATTATTCAAATAAATTTTGTTCATCATTCTTTTCTTTCATATAGTATCTAACATCTTGTCTAACTCAAAAGTTTATCCGACTGATGGCACAAAGAAATGCTTCGCTATTGGTTACGATTAACAACAAAACGCTTAATCTGCAGTGACCGTCGTAAACATTGATATTACTGCATTAAATTACGTGTATCCACCAATTATTTTTTCGGTCAAGGACTCAAGCTCCGCCTTACGATAGAATTGTTAACTACGGTACGTATCATTGAACGAATCTTGCGGTGGTTTTCCCAAAGAACTTTGTACTGATATTTACGAGGGCACGGTCAACTCAAGGCAAAAATGCTTATTGCGATGTAGTGTGCTTCCCTGACTTAAACCTGTCTCCCACGAATGCCGACGGGTTTGCCACTGCCGTAAACGGAATTTCGTCCAAGAAACTTCTCTCTTTACAACCGGAACTTCCCGTCTTCGCTTCATTAATATGGACGTACGCAGATCTCGACGGTGGCCAATCATCGTTCGTTGCCCGTTTCCTTGAATCGCATGAAATTTTTGGCAATCATGCCGATTCACGGTTCCATCTTAATGACATTGGGTATATTCATAATTGATACTGATTTTTTTTTGTATACCTTTAAAACTATTTATTTGAGAGAAATCATTATAAAGATTTAAATCTATAGTAAGCTGTTGACTTCATACTTCCTGTACATGTGCAATATTTTTCGGTTATGTTGTTTGAATTATCATGGAACCATTTGGGAAACGCATTATGTAGAAACGACGTTAATTATTACTTGATTTGATGTTGATGCATATATTAAGCTGTGATAGTAACTCTCACAGAGTAGTTTGTCCTCGCTCACATACAACATAGCGTAATCCAGATCTAACTCACACATTAGCGGATTGTTGATACTGTGTTTATATTTAGAAGAATGTAACCATCTTACGAAATGAAAACCTAGGGATAGAATAAAAATGTTTATATAATTATGTCAATTATTATTTATATTTGCGATTAATGTCTCAGGTTATCGGTGTCTTTGAAATGAAAGATTTCGATTGGCTTTTGCCATCAATGATGTTTGAGAATTTAAGCACTTTCACATTCACTTGAAGATTTACAGACATCGATATTGAATTGAAAAACTAATTTTTCTTATTCTTTTTGTGATTCGATCTAATAATTTGAAGTCCAATCAACTATTCGATTTTAATCGTAATCAGAAACCTGTCTTAGCTAAGAGATCATTCAAGAATTTTCTCAGGTCGATAGACAAAGGATTACGCGTTTATTTATACAATACCGTATGAATTATTTTCCGTTTTATTGCGTAATCGTTAATGTGTTTAACTGTGAGCAGGACGCTTCAAGGCTAGTTCATGATTCTGTTCCATCTTTATCATTTCATCGGTTTACCTCATCAGGAATAATTTAGAAAACTCGTCTAATTACAGTAAAATATTCTGACTGTTGCATTATTTAATTACTTTTTCTTGAAATAAAGTGATCGTGCATTTATTTCGTTTTGCCAATCTCTAGACTTCTAGAACATCGTGTTGTGTTACTTGATGCCCGTTTAGCGGAATCTTCAAACGTTTTATATTGCTCAGATTTTTGTCTGAACATTGAAATAAATTAACGTGTGAAATGGTAATTATGTTATTCTTTTAAAAGTTGCCGTTTCATTAACAATATACTTTAAAGGTATTAAAATAGTCATATTTGAAATTTTAGATGTTTCTTTTAATTTCTTTTAAATAATTTACAAGATGGAAATGATTGTTTGTAGTTACTTGGTAGATTTCATGAAAACTGATGAATATCAGTATTTGAATATAAACAATCATTATATGAATTCAAATTCATGAGAAGAGTTTCCGATCTTAGAAATATATACTCAGATTGCCGATCACAAGGACTAATTAGCGGTTTGCATTACTTTTTTCCGAAGGTTCGTATTCCTCTGACAAAGCAATTTACATATTAATTGTACGAGATTTTCTTCGAGAATGTTCAGATACGTATGATCAATAGTTGATAATTAAAACATACTGGTAAAGCAATTAAGAAGAGCATGATTTGCACTTTAATTATAATTGATATATTACATTCATAATATATTATACATTAATTATAATTTAATAACTGTTAATCGTCGAAAATTAATGAATAAGAAATGTCGAGTTTACCCTTGTGCCTCGATTAATGACTTTAATATTGTTTTCTAAATTCTTATTCCGTGTAACATATTCTTACTCGTCAAATGAGGAAGCATTGGTTGATTAAAATTAATAACCTAAATTCTGCGAAAGTATTCAGTACTTTATTTGTAGAAGATATTGTAAATATTATAGGTAACGAATTCATCAAATCTTACATTATTATTAAGTTACTGTACGTTACTTACGTTAGCCAAGCCGGCCTGTGGTTCAAAAGTGAAGAAGGGTAAGAGGAGACGTCCATTCGTGGCGTGCGGCCCGATAGTAATCGTGGAATTAATTTTGGCACGTTTTTGTTACTGCCCGAGCCGCGAGCTGAAGCGGAGCATGCGTCCGAGGCCCTTGCCCCTCTTCACTTTTGACCCACAGGCCGGCTTGCCTAACGTGAGTAACATACAGTGCAGTACCTATATGACATGAAACACATTATTCAGTGTCATTACTTTTTTTCGAGTATTTAAAAAAGTTTAATAGTATGAAATAACAGTAATCATCATTAGAAAGACCGACGTCAACAGTAACCACCATAATAATAAATATTTCAAGCGGAATATCAGAAATCATTGAGACATCATTAAAGGATTGACGTCAATAGTAACCATTATGACAACGACTGTTTCAAATGCAACATCAACTACAGAAAATTGGAAAAAAGAAATAAAAATAACAATCCGACATTTTACTGCTGCCGGTACGAATGTTCATGCGCAGAATGCTCATTTCAAGCCACGCTCACCGAGTATTTCCGTAAACCTCGAATTCGTAAAGCTTGAATTATAGTTTCGCTTTGTCGGCCAGTCTTGCCACGCTAGAACGAGGTCGGAGTTGACTTCGACAGTTCACGAAAAGCGGCCCGAGATTCCAGACAATTACTCGAACCAGCACGCAGTCAAGGATCCTTCCAGCAACGCGAAATCCAAGGCTAAGGAATTTAGAAAAGCTGTTCCGACAGCAGTGGGCCGAATGTTAATGTTGTTCAAAAATATAGACTGCGAGATCTGTTCCACGTATATACAAATTACAAGTCATCACCCTTTATTGGTTTTTCCTTCCTCACTGTTTTCTGCGTCTATCTTTGGTTTTTTATTGGCGGGATCGCGTCGCGACATCGGCCATGCAACACGCATAATTTTCAGATTTGATATAATTAATATTTGTATATTCAGATAATTTACACCGTCTTGTTAACGTCAATTGTCTGGCGTTAACAGCGACGCAATGAAGAAATTAATAACAGTGTTTGGGGCAGTGTGATCGTATTTACACTTCTGCGACAAGATGGCCGCCCGCTGCGCAATAGGTGCGGACTTTGGAATAGTCGACGCGATCGAGATAAATCAAGGACATTATGCACACTGAAAGGAACGTGACAAACATTCTGGAAAAGAGAAAAATGTTTGACGAATTTTGGAAATAATAGACGCGGAACCTGACTATGAGACTAAACAACTTCTTTCGTTGAACAAACGATTCGCGTTCTTGTCAAAACACCTTCACGCTATCTCGTGTCACGATCGACAGTTCATGTTTGTTTACACTCGACAAATTATTTCTCG